GTGCCCACTGCTCCCAGCTGTTCCCGATGCAGGGCAAGGGGGATGGGCAGGCAGGCTGGTCCCTGGAGGGTGGATGTCTGAGGCTGGGCAGTGCCCTGGGCCTTGGGGTACCCGTGGCTCTGACCAGCCCCATCGGTCTGTGTGTTCAGGGTGCAGCCGTCAGAAGCCTGTGGCCCCTTCCAGGGGCTGGAAACCATCTACAAGTCGTGGCAAACCTGGGTGCAAGTGCTGGAGAACTCTAACCCCAACATCACCTGGTTCACCTGGGCCCACCAGCACCTGGTGGAAAACCCCTTCCTCCTGTTCTTCATGTCTGGGGTGCTGCTGTGAGTACGGACCCAAGGCTGCACCCAGGGCTGTGCTTCGGGGGTGCCCTGTCACAGCCTGGAGCGGGGCTGGAGCGGGGCTCACTCCAAGGCACAGTGTCCCAGCTGCCGCCATCCCGCCCTGCTGTCACTGCAGAGCCGGGACCTACTTCAACATCCAGGTGGTGAGAGGCCAGCGGAGGATCATCCGCCTGCTGAAGGAGCAGATCGCCAACGTGCGTGAGCTCGGCCCGGCCGCTGCAGCCCTGGCGTGGCCACCCCCCCAGACATCCCAGAGCATATCCCGTGGCTGCTCATTGCCATGTCTCATTGCAGGAAGGGGAAGATAAAGCATTTCTCATTCAGAAGCTTCACTCCGTGTATGAGCAGAGGGAGAGACGCGCCTGAGCCCTGGGTGAGCCCTGCACAATGGGGACAGGGGCTGCCAGGGCACTCGGATGGGCACAGGGGCATTCCTCTGCTCTGTGCCGGAATGGTGGGAGCAGCATGGCCAGGGCCAGCCCAGCTGCTTGCTGGGGAGCAGGAGGTGCACAAGGTGCTGGGATGAGCCTGGCATTCCATGTCCCCTCATTCCGCTGGCACAGGCAGCTGGGGATGTAGGGCTGAGCCTGCTGGGAAGACACCCGGTTGCTCCGGTACCCAGCATGTCCCAGGGGATGCTGGATCCCTGGTGCTGCTGCTGCCCAGGGATGGCACTGGCTGACAGCAGAGCTGGGATCGGGGCTGAGATAGGGCTGGGGCAGGGAACAGGAGGTGGTTGGGACATTCACAGTGGGGCAGAACAGGGCAGCAAACACTCAGTGTCTCAGGGTCTGTATCTGTCCTAGTGTCAGACGCCCCAGGAAGGAGCAAGACGGGACAGGACTCTGCTCACAGCCAGGGGATGGATCTGTCTGTCTTTCCAAGCCATTGCAGCGGTGGAAGCAGCAGGAGCATAGGGTGCTGGGGAGGATCCTCTCCTCCGGGTTGCAGCGGCCAAGGACCCATCGGAACACAGGGACATGGGTGCTCCCACTGCCCAGAGCTGCTGGGGATGCAGCAGGACCAGGACTGCAGCAGCACCATAGGGTATAGTGCTGCCCTGGCTGGGGCCCTTCTCCATGGGTGGTTACTGTCAGCAGAGAACAAGGCTCCCTCCTGTGAGCGCCCCAGGACAGGACAGCGTTGGGTTGTTTTCAGAAGCCTTCCAGGAAGGTGATACTTTCTGGCTGGAGAGAACCTGCAGCCCCATTGCATTGCCCAGGAGCAGCCCCAGTGCAGCTCCAGCCTCATGTTCCGCCAGGAGGAGAGGAGCTGGACACCACCTTCCCCATGTACAAGGCCACCCATGTGCTCCCTGGCCAGTCACCCTGTGCTGCCCTGCAGGATGGGCTCAGAAACCCACCGTGGTGCCAAGGGCCGGGCAGAGGAACAGGGGGCCCCGGCTCCCTCACCGCAGGCTTAGCTGCCCATTAAACACAGCCATGCCTGGGGCTCCCAGCCCATGTCTGGATCTGT